TTTTTGGCTGTTACTATGGCAACGATAGGCCAATTTTTTTCTTCAGATTTTACCTAATAACTAGGGTGATGGTGTGACCTGCCTATCAAGTTTGAGGGAAATAGGCCAAGCCAAAACAATCACAGAAGAATTAATACGTGAAAACACCGGAAACCACACACTCAGAAACACAAAATTGATTTTAAGGGCAATCCTAGCAGAACGGATCGCCAATAGTGAACAAAAATGTTCGTAAATATTACTGACCGCAAAAGACGCTCATCGCGAAGTGTCTTGTTATGTTATAAAATAATTTATAGTAAACACACACAAAGAAGTAACGCTAATGTGATATTCAATTGGAAAACTTTGTAATTTTTCATAATTGCGAAAGTGAAATAAATAGTTAAAGCGGGGGGAGTAGTCACCTGCGCATGCGTCAGATGACCATAGCGTGTCATTGTTTACCAACAAGCGTCTACCCATGAGCCTTTGCGTTTTTAGTGTGTGTTGTTATCGTACGCAGGTGACAACCGCCCCGCTTTAAAATATAAATGAACTTGTGAACATTCAACATGTGAAATATTATTATATGTATCATGGCCACCGAGTTTGGCAAGGGAATACCCTTTCTGAAATGTCGCGCCCCCTATCGACGAACCGCTTGGAGGTTGTATAAAATGTATTATCGCCGAAATCATGTTTATTTTCAGACCAAAACATTCATTAATAATAGAAACAAATATCTGTGTCCTCATTCTAAAATTTGAATTCATAATTAGGCACTCGTGTTTCTCCGCACTTTTCTCGGAACGAGAAAGCCCCAATAGACTTACACAATGAAGTTGAATATTGTGACGTCAGTACGTGGTCAATAATATGATGTTGGAACTTACCATCCGAGTTATTCAATGATGGGTACGATTCTCCTAGGTCTGCTTTTACTTGCAAATAATCTAAAATTAGAAATAGATCATGTGTGTCAAATTATGGCGGAGTGCATACAATGCATTTCGCCGTTCAGTAATATGTTTACGTCTCAGACCACTAATAAAGGTCTGAGTTTGCAAGTAGTACTTTGGCCACCCGAGTGAAGCACACAAATGCATAACTTATTTCACCCGCCCTATCTATAAGCACCGTTTATGTAGGCACTGTGTTGTTGCAGTACATGTATTTCTTTTATTTGCTTATTGACTGATATTGCTGAATATTTGCTTTTAATGATATGCTTGGTGCGCGCTTCAACTTTGTGTGGCATATATGTGGCTGATTGTGAACACAGAGGCCCATCGTTTGCTACTAAGACATTTGATGGAATAAATGATGCAATATTTATAGTTATTTTAAAAAGATGACACAATGGAATAATTACAAGCGTTTAAGGTTTGCATGCAATCATTCAAACAAGCACAAATTAAGGACTCCGTACCTGAAAAATATCCAGACGCGAGGCCTTCGAAAAACGAGGAAAACACAAACATTAAATAAGGGTGATTCTATGCTACGTACATAACATTTGAAGCTAAAAAAACAAAACACACACAACAACAGCCAACCCAAAGTTTGCCCGACCGTGCAGCATCAATTCCGAAACGAAAAACAAGATTGAAACCAATGCTTTTTTTTTTTAAATGAAGATACTAACTGACAGCCAATCAGCTCATCATTCCATTTTCAGTTGAGGTAGAGTGAATAGAGGAAGACAGTATTAATGACAGTCAAACATAAAACAAGATACTGTTAACCAGTCATGCTTGCGTGCATTTTATATGCGTGTGAAGGGACCGACTTACTTGCTAACAAATGACTTGTACCGGTTTCCAAACCGGCGAGCGACACGCCATGAACGACATGCAGATCGCCTGGCGAAATTTGTAATGACGGCAAACTTACAATGTTCGCACTGGGACGCCGCGATTCGAGCCTGGCGGGGAAAATGACATACTCAATATTAAAAAAACAAAACACGAATATGTATGATATTTTATCAGAAATTAATAATCACGTTATATTTAATATGAAAAATTATTTATAGAAAAATAATTCTATTTATGTTGGCTATGATATATATGTCAAGTAATCAAGCAAGGTATTGGACATGTGCCATTCCAGTAGTATATGATTGGTGAATGCATGCAATGTTTTATTTCGAATAATTTAATATCAGTATGCCTCGGTTTGTATTAAGTGGGAACAAATTGAATCGTTGATATATCAGCAAACTGAATCATGTGTCGGAAAGATTATTGGGGAGACAGTAATTGTGGTACATACCCATATTGAGGACCGTTTTCGGATTCCTCGTCTAATGTATCCTGTAACTCAATCATAATATCAAATCAATATCCAATTGGCTTTAAGCAGAAAAGAAATCACGTTCGCCTTCTGCTTTCTAAATACTCTCAGTTTGTCTTTATTAAAATGGACACATATGACATGTATAATTTAATCATCATTTGCCCTACGTCTATTCCCACAACAAATTTGTTGGTTAATTTGGAGAATCACATACGTTCAAATTGAAGATCAGTATCAGATAGTTTTCCACCCACCTGAACTTCTAAAGTAGTGCGCAGTGTCTCTGACGTCATAGCTCCACGTCGCCTCCTGAACGCTGAGGGTGGTGGCCTGAGGTCTTCTTCTTCGTCTGTCTGATTGTCCGACCCTGAGGAATACTTCACCTATTTTGTATTTTTTAAATAAAAAAACAACAACAACATCAAATGAAATAATCTATTCATTACAGGAATGAGTAGAACAGAAGTAAACCTCCTGGCTAAATGCATCAAATCAATGACGCGCAAAGTGCGTTATTATACTGGCGTGCCTCATTACTCCAGCGACTCAGAAACCTAATAGAATATTGAAAGTCAATTTGTAAACATTAAGACGAGTTTTCAAGTTGGTGACTAATAAAAAGAAGTATCATGTAACTGCTCGTGTCAATTAAGAATCGTCGACTGATTTATCGTCCAGTCGTGAAGTTAGACAAAACTCAACAACAAGAATTCCTAGGATGGGCCCAGGAACGCGTCATGGATTTATAACAAGGAAATGTAGTTGAAAGCGGGGGAGTCGTCACCTGCGCATGCGTCAGTTGGCCATAACGTGTCATTGTTTACAAACAAGCGTCTACCAATGAGCCTTTGCGTTTTTAGCGTGTGTTGTTATCGTCGCTTGGGACTCAATTTCCGCGCGTGCGCAGTTAACGACCGTTTAAGTATATAGATCTTTCGTAAGTATGAGCCTCTTATTAGTGATTCAGTGGAATCATATTGGGTAATCCATTTAATTACTCTGGTCAATGTCGATGAACTGCGGAGCGGATTCGACACATCATACTGTCATATATACTAAGGAGTAATTTTCTCGTTAACTTCTCCTCCTCATACAGTATATATATATTACGGTTGTGTGCGGAGCGTATCTGACAGAAATCGACATTTGTAATAAACCTCGTGTATTGTGTGTGTAAATTGTAAACTAACATTCACATCAAACATTATGACCTTCAGAAACCCCCACTATTTTATGTTGATTACAACGAGCGCGCCTGTAATAGAACAAAGACTATAGAGAAGATATATATAGTCTATAGACAGTGACTATATATAGTCTTTGAATAGAAATACCTTGTTATTTTTGTTTGGCCTAACAAGCCCGGAAGCAAGCAAGTCATACGCCATTGAATTTGACGTGCCTATGATGCGCAATAATAGAGCAAAACAACAAACCATATTTGCAGTGATATCCTGCATTAATGAAATATCTTGGGTACTTAGCTGATTGGGTTCGTAGAAAATACTATTAAAAAAGCAATTTCTTAAGTTTGTTACGTACATTATATATGGGAACAATCTATTTCAATCCATTTCTCCACAGTTAAAGCTTTACCCATTGTTTAACAAAATGGCCGTCGTTTTGGGGCATAGTGTTTTGAAAATGACATCATTGCTTTCATGGATATACAGAACTTAAACTCAATTTATGGAATCTGTCAACTATGAAAAATTAGAAACAGTTACAACTGTAATAAAGTATCATAAGCTGAATACTACTGTACGTCAATCGCCCTGTTGTGCCACAAGACAGGTCGCTACAACGAAATATTATGTTAATTGCCTAATCATTATGCATAAACAAAACTAAGCTCGGTTTGCTTTTGTCTTTGTGATATCATAATGCCGCGAATGGTTCTATTGATATTAAGAATCAAGTATAGACAGACGTATAGGCGGGTAGGTGGACAGACATTCAGACATACGTACACTCACCATATTGTCTACACGATACGCCGCCCTGGTCTGCAACGTATCGGGAATGGGTACTGTCAACGAACTAGCATCGCTCACTACAGACTCCTGTGAACCTGGAATAGAAATCAACATTATAAACATCCCAATACAGTGCCACCAGTACTCGCCTGAGACAAGGAGTGTGTACAATTGTTTTATTCAAATACAACATGACGTCTTTGGTAAATGAACGACACCTATGGATATGTAAATTGACTCATGAAAAAGCACCATTTTACCTATTTAACATCAATAAAACACAAATTCTCAATTACAGTAGATTTTTCAATTTCAATTAATAAAATAAATGCATAGAAAAATGATATCAACTAGTACGACTTCATGGGGAAGGTGATTAACATTCAAAATCACCGCAACCTTTCATCAAAACAAAACTGAGGGCGTGAATCAATCAGGGTGCGATCACGACATGCGAAAAAAAGATATTCCATGTCTTTAGATATCCCAAAATCATTCCCATCACAAAACTCGCAATTATACGCAATATTTCCTTTAATTTCTACTACGTACGTGTGTTTGGATCCTCATATAACGATACAGACGTAGCGACGCACATCATTGACTTTCAAAGATCAAAAAAAAATGGAATGATCGATTGAAATGAAATATTGCTTATAAGTTAATTATTAACAACCAAATCGATGATGCACAAATAAATTACCCTCTTCTCAGACGTATTCATGCGAAAACGCCAAGCTTGGGGGAAATTGTTTCCGCGTATGGGTACTATGACACATACAATAAATCACCACTCGAAAACCAAGCAGTCCCAGCTTAGATCCAGTAAGACTAGCACACAAATACGTAACCACCATACTGGCCGGGTATTTAGCATTTCCAACGGAAGTTGAATACGTTGGGAACTCAAGAATTGCCGTTCCAAGTGATTCCGAGATTAAAGGGCGGTAGTCGTCGTGCTACGTATTGTTCGATATGGGATTCATAGCGACGTATACAACGCGTGTAAAATACATTGTTTATTTACATGAAATTCGAACACGCGCTGCGCGACGACCACCGCGCTTTAAACACAGACACTGAATAGCAGTAAAAACTGACAAAAACTTGGTAAGGATCCCTTCAAGAAACAAGTTCTGCTTAATAGCTTCATTCATTATATTTTTTTTTATCTGTAATTAATACAATCACACTATTTCACAGGAGAATGTATGAAATGTGATTTAATTGAAGATTTATTCTTTATTAAACATATGATATTTTATTTCTCTCACACATTTCGAGAAAAACACGAGTCAATATAAAAATACAGTGGTTAAATTTGTTGGTTATGGTGGGAAGCTGCTCCAAGATCGATTATTTGAAAAGTTTCGAAAGTTTAATCATCTATTATACAATTAGAAGGTGTTGACAAAACGCAGAGCCCTGGGTGTATTTTAACTCACCCAGACTTACTCGGCCCAGGTCAGCTCGGAATCAAAGGGATGGTCTCAACTCTGTGTTCCGGAATTAACTCGAGTTGAGACACGGGTGAAGTATCCATGGTTGAAACAACGCCATCTAACGGCACCCCCAAAAGGTATCGGATTATCAATCTACGAGATGGCAGACAACGCGCAAGCAGCTCATGAACACAGCAACAATATTTACAGAGCGTTCGAACCCCCCCCCCCCCATTCTTTGGCTCTTGTGACTACTCCATTAGAGATAAGCTTTCACTTTTCACAGAATGTCAGGTTGCTAATTGTCAATTCCGGAATTCATAGACAATTCTAGAAAGTTGACGGGAATTATGACTAATCCATTTCCGATACGTTGGCGGAACCCCGCGGTGGGGATTACCCACACTTCACTGAGATCAGACTGTTCGCCACTCTCCCTTGCAGAGTCTTCGTGACCTAGGGAGCCACAGAGAGCCCCACTGGACGTTCCCTAGCGACTACCTAGCTTAGTGATAAAAGACCCATAGTGGCTGACGGAGAATGGCTATTCGCATTAGTGTTAAACAGTATTGCGTCATATTAAAGGGACGAATACTATTTATCCGTCGGTTTCACCCATATAATGTCGAAATACTGACATTTAGGCATTCTGTATGATATTTTAGAATCTGAGAAAGTCACAGGTGACTATCGAAAATTCTACAAGATAATCATAATATCCCGATGAATTTACAGTGCTTTCAACTGTTCGTATGAACACGAGTAATTTATAGCCGCGTCCATAAAAATAAATAAAGTACACCAAATGCCAAGTCAATTCATATTTATTTACCTTTAACCAGGATTAAAATGTGTGGCGAAATTCAAAGCATTATCGCCCACATTTTTCTAAACACGGCGAGATTCAACGAATTAAAAGTTCGCCCCTGTGCCCTTAAGTAAAGTACGTCACCCCTTATTCAGTACGAGTGGGCATCGTACATCTGACTCATTCATCCGGGCTATGTAAATTTTATTACACGTCTGAAGTATGTTTGTTTTGGTGTCGATGTGACTATACGAGTGATATGACCTCGAACACGACATCGATATTAATAATAGCGTGTCCACCAATCCACATTGTTTTAAATGTCCGCCAATCAGCCACTTTGAATCCGAATAAGAATGACGTCTATGTGGAATAAAACACATGGTCGCTGTCGGTAATCTCGCGTTAGACACAGCACACATAAATAAACTGTGGATATAGTTCCCGTATGTTCAACTTTAGACACAGTTGCACATTGTTTTAAATGTCCGCCAGTCAGCCACTTTGAATCCGAATAAGAATGACGTCTATGTGGAATAAAATACATGGTCGCTGTCGGTAATCTCGCGTTAGACACAGCACACATAAAGAAACTGTGGATATAGTTCCCGTATGTTCAACTTTAGACACAGTTGCACATTGTTTTAAATGTTCGCCAGTTCGCCACTTTTAATCCGAATAAGAATGACGTCTATGTGGAATAAAACACATGGTCACTGTCGGCAATCTCGGGTTAGACATAGGGGAATATGGACACCGTTCCAATATGTTCAACTTTAGACACAGTTGCACATTGTTTTAAATGTCTGCCAATCAGCCACATTTAATCCGAATAAGAATGACGTCTATGTGGAATAAAACACCTGGTCACTGTCGGTATTCTCGCGTTAGACACGGCACACATAGAGGGACTGTGAACACAGTTACCTCACCTTTAATCCAAATAAAAAGGACGTCCATGCACGTGGAATAAAACAAGCCATTCAGTATTGATTATACCTACTCACAATTTAAATCGAAGCACGTACACATGCTATTTCTATTTCTTCCAAATTGAAATTTTTTAAAGAAAGCTATGGAGTACGATTTTTTATAATCACAGATAATCGTCGGAGCACGTTGTGGCTGACATATTAGCAAGTGTAGGGCGGCAGACTCACACAGATTAACCTATCGTTTACACGCATTCCGTGGGTTATAGTGGCGACTCGAATTCAGTAAATGATCGTACAAAATTGACAGAGGTCAAAACCACAATAACAGAGATCTATGATCTAACGACTGCTTTGTATTCTATTTTTATTTTCTATAAATTCCGAGCATACCATCATGAATGGCGAAGACACATACATGGGTATGTTACTATAGTAACGCTAACTGTAGGTATATTTATACCTTAGACAATCGAAACACTCACCTCTCCCGAGCAAGTAGAAGTGAAAGCAAATGAGAAGTGATTTCAGCTTTTCTTCTTCTTCTTATTATTTTAATAGAACATTCCAGGGATTTTCCAGTTATGGAAAAATTGAAACCATAGTCGAATTAGGGCACATATAGTACAATTTTTTTTTTGCATCCAATTTTGATTTTATTTTCAACCAGATCCGTTAAATCACAATAAACTACAACCTAATGAATTCAGACTGTAATTTATTTAACCTGATTCGTAGATAGAGGGCGGTTGCGCGGCCATATCGATTACCAGCCCGGCTGGCCTAGGCAGCAAATACTTATCTTTTCACGTAAAAACATGTTTAAAAAAAAAAACTGTAAAATAATACTCGCGATTAACAAACGTTCACACTCACGGGACTTAGTCGGTAAAAAATGTTTCTAACATGTTTTCACATTATATAGGGACGTTCAATATTCCTATGGGTGGTATTCAATGAATACCGGTACTTGTAATGTGAAAGTAAGCTAAACGTTGACCAGTAATAATACGTTATTGTTATTTCTACACGTCTAATTCGAAATACTTTGATTATTGGCTGATTCACACACTAAAGCTTTTGATTACTCTGATGAAACTCTGTATTCTGAGAATAAAATGAGGGCTTCGTTTTATTACAAAGTAATAAAAAAAACTCCAAACACAAATGTTAAATTAGCTGTGGTGTACGTTGCCATACTATCTCAAGATGTTTACACAGTATATGCTGGGCAGCGATGCAATAGGGTTATGTATAGACACGTTTCCATGGAGATGAGAATCTCAAAATATAACTGCCTTTACGAAGAATGGTGATTTTATTAAAATACGAATAACTCTTAAAAGATGTGCCAGTTTAATTTCTTACTTTACACACGAGGTATACTTTTCATACCAGTATTATGTAGTGGTGTATACGTACTGATTGCAATGTTGGGTTTCAGGTTTATGCAAAATGATTTTATATCTTGATAAAAATAATAACAGTAAATGTGATTATTTTGGTACTAATAGTAAACATTTTTTAATTGCCGAAAGACGAATAAAAATGAAGTTAAACATACTAAAATTAAATGTAAAAAGTTGGTATTAGATGTTAGTTGTGAAAACTGTAAATCATTTTGACTGCCACATAGCATGATGCAATTATTTAAACTAAAATTGTTATGACCCAAAATCATTACAAATGGAATAACTTTTTAGAATGCCCGATTACCCTAGCTTTTCTAATCATTTTTACTCACTACCTCCGGGCTCCATCCCATAATATTATTCCATGTGCAATATTTGTTTTCTTTCAGTTTAACCCTCTCAAGTGCCAGCATTTTCCCCGCCAACATTTTCATCAAAGCGGGAGGGTCGTCACCTATGCACGCGCGGAAATTGAGTCCCAAGCGACGATAAATAACACACGCTAAAAACGCAAAGGCTCATGGGTTGTTTGTAAACAATGACACGCTATGGCCATTTGACGCATGCGCAGGTGACGACTCCCCCGCTTTAAGTATTTTCTATAATTTTTGGGATCATTTTGGACCAAATAGACATACTTTCCTACTGGCTACAATTCTTGATTACAATTTCGTAAACAAAATATGGAAAACGTAACATATTTTATTTTGTCAACTTGAATGAGTAGTTTTCTATGATTTAGACATAATCATCCCATTGACTGCAGGCAGTGATAACAAAAATTAAAAATACTTATTTTGTGGATGGTGACAAAAGTTGACTTCCACTTTCATAGTGTAATATAAATCACTTACTGTGTATGCTGTCACAAAAAGGACGTTCGTACTTATCCGAATAATCGTCGTTGAAACACGTAATGAGCACTTGAGGACTTCTTCTTTTTAACACATTCTCATCCCTTCCCTGCTGAAAAAAAAGAATACGTCAAAACGGATTAATGCCACGCTCCGTAACGAGTGTATATTCCCACAAACCATGTTAACATAAAACACTCATCGTCCTCGTTAAAAGGGTTGCTATAATCGACGTCTTCAAAGCTGGACACGAGAAAGACGGTCGAATCCATCTACTTAGAACTTCTCACTTCATACAAGTCTAACGTGATAAAAACAACGCTAGTTGTGAATATTCTTTAAGAACTCGTTTAACACGACATGTTGGCATTCAATGGAAACACGAGTATTTAACCAAATTTCTCTGAAGAGTCCATAATCATTAGTTAGAGCCTCTACTGGCTCGTCAAGAATTCGTTCCCGAAACCATGTTATTATATTGAGTAATGTAACGCATCATACCATTGACGAACGTACGTTTTTTAGCTTAACTAGGCACATTTAAGAGAAAAATGGAACATTTCCGTCAGAAAAAAAATTCTGCGCGAAAACAAGCACATATTTAATTGGGAAAACATAAAAACAATGTTACAGAAATATCATCCTGAAAAAAAAATCTAGCAAAAAACTAAAGAACAAAAAAAATAATTTTCACAGTTATTTTTCCGTACTACCAAAAAATGCCTAATAATGATCAAGCACTAACGTTTCATAATCAACTATTGGAGTGTACAAGGAGATCACTAAATTTAGGTGGCGCCAACAATTTTGTTTCTTTTGCTTTACACGAGATATTTTAAACTTATTTCGGCATTATCTACACGTTTTACGCCCACGTATGTCTAAGTACAGGTTTCTAGGCTTTCTCTTCAGGATGTCTGGAGTTACAATTATTATAATTCCGAGGAGAAGACCTTTCGCCGCTATAACGAGTTTACTAATAAGAAAGGTACTACACGTGATATCTGAAAAAAACATATCTTGTTCGTCCTTTTCCCTTTTTCATGTTATGTACGTGGGATGATGACGCAGTGTCAGCGAGAAACTTGTGTTTTGGGACACCGTAGTATTTAATCATGCTTTATTGTATCCTCCAATTAAAATAAATTAAAATAAAATGTATTACGTCAGTTACACGACGTAGCATGAAACCCACATCGTGTGCTTTAACACTTTTGTTTTGGTGGTATTATTTGTAATAATACCGTGACGACCATGTGTTCGTTTCTGTGTAAAAACCGGTTTCGTGGCTTTTTAAGCTAAGAGTGTGTTGTACTGACTGATTTATCAATATAAGATAGTTAATTAAATACCGCGGAACGTGACAAATGCTGGATGTTACTTATTCAGTGTGAACTAATTAAATTACTGACTATACATGGAATGAGGCTTATTCACTTTCGTCGTGTACTGAAGGGAATGTTCGAACGTTATCTTTGGAGAGGGGGGTCACGTACATTTGGCCATTTAAAATAATGCTTTGCTTTCCTTTTAGGTTTCTTTTCTTTCAAATATATTTTTTTTTTTGTAATTTTTGCCTTTTTTATTTGTTGTTTCCTTCTTTCCCTATCCGAGTTTATAGTATGCCTCTCCCCTTACAGTAGTTTGGTTTCAAACTATCTCGACTTTACCATAGTTATCAAGACAGTGCATAGCATCACGTTCTTGCAATGAAGTATGCGTCGTGGGCCAAGTTTTGAGGGGCGGTATGGTTGCCCTACAATACAGCATCGATCTGCTAGCTTTTGTAGCACAGTGGCGGATCCAGAGGGGGGGCAGGGGGCCATGGCCCCCCAAACGCATGACGATTCATATCATCTGGATTACGCATAGCTTCTCTGCGATTTTCGCTCCGTATAGCTTAAGCGAAGCTTGCCCCCCCCCAATACATTTTGCTGGATCCGCCGCTGTTGTAGCACTAATGAACGTTGATCCACCGAGAGGGTTGATTGATGAAGTAGGCAACGTGGTCGACGTTCTTTGTCACAAAAGATGTCGTGTACACAGTTAGCTAGCGTAAACGTGATCTACAGCTTTGCCGATACCCGACCCGGACAAAAAACTAAGTTGTCGAACGTGTTTCCCCTATATCTTGTACCAACGAATAGCTTGGTTTGTGATCGTTTGGATGTGTTCTCTGTTTTGTTTTGCAACATTAGTTTTTTTCAGGTCCGAATCTCATTCAAGATGTAGTTAGTACATGTATCGGTAAATTAGACGCATTTGTTTGCTAAGTTGTGGTCATGTAGTCCATCAGTGCCCACCTTTGGTACGCAATGGTCGCCCTCATGTAGTAAGTAAATTAGACGCATTTGTTTGCTAGGTGGTTGTGGTCATGTAGTCCATCAGTGCCCACCTTTTGTACGCAATGGTCGCCCTCATGTAGTAAGTAAATTAGACGCATTTGTTTGCTAGGTGGTTGTGGTCATGTAGTCCATCAGTGCCCACCTTTTGTACGTAATGGTCGCCCTCATGTAGTAAGTAAATTAGACGCATTTGTTTGCTAGGTGGTTGTGGTCATGTAGTCCATCAGTGCCCACCTTTTGTACGTAATCTTAATTCGGAGCTACTTGTACGCTTAACACGTTATATTGCGCTTGAAATTCAACTCCACAAGCTGCCGTAGATATCAGCCCGGGGTTAACAGAGAGTTTAATGTAAGCAATTATTTAAGTGCACCCAGCCATGGGATAAGCACGGTACAAGCATCTGAATAGCTAGAAGTCCTCTCTCTACTTGAAACAGAACAGATTTTAAAACTGTAAATAAATCAATTTCGGGGTGTACTTAAATAGTGTTTTCCCCGGTCTTATTAAAGGGTGGTAGTCGTCGCACCACGCATGCGCGAAGTATATGGGTCTCATATAAACAATAATGGCGACTTTCACTGTTGCGCAGATCAACGAGTACAAACTGGGACATTACCAAGTTTTAATTAAGTAATTTTTAGTTTGATTGAAAGGTATCGAAGGAGATAATCACGGTGCAAGTCGCGCCCGGATTGTGGGAAAATCAATGTTTATCAACACAAATATCGCACAAGCGCAGCGCGATGACCATCGCCCTTTAAATATTTCGGCACTTATTTACTTCATCGATGTTATGCAAGTTACGGCTGTGTTCAGTTAACATCTTACACCACCAGCTCCCCGTATTCATACAACTCACAGTAAAATGCAAAGGTTCATGGGTAGACGTTTGTAAACAACGACACGCTTTGAATAAATCTGCCCTGGTATTACGGTCGTTTACTAATGGTCATCATCTAACGTACGTGCCATCCACCATCGACAGGCGGCCTCTATCGTCGTCGACACCTGTTTACATTTGTATCGCATGTATTCGTATTACATGTATTCATTCATGGTGAATGGGATATAAGATGTATCAAAAACCGAATCACAATGCGAATTCATACATATACACGGGCAGTGCTCGTCGTACAGCACTGCGTTCGCGTTTTACACACGTTGTATACGTTGTATAACGACGCGGTGTGACGTCCACTGCGCCGCCCTTTTAATCAAACGATTTATTTTTCTTTGGTCATGGATTACGATAAATGACCATATGTATCAAATGAAAGCGAATTCACAATGGGATATAAGATTTATCAAAAACCGAATCACAATGCGAATTCATACATATACACGGGCAGTGCTCGTCGTACAGCACTGCGTTCGCGTTTTACACACGTTGTATACGTTGTATAACGACGCAGTGTGACGTCCACCGCCCTTTTAATCAAACGATTTATTTTTCTTTGGTCATGGATTACGATAAATGACCATATGTATCAAATGAAAGCGAATTCACAACGGGGTCGATGGTCATGTTACACCACCGCGTTCTCAAATTTCACTCGAACCTTCGATTATTGGGTGAAACGGGCCTTGATACACAAATATGTTGCCCGTTCATTGAAAAAGTGATCCAGAATACATATGCGCATGCTCCGGGAAATATTTTGCAATTATAGTGTGAAACCTATCATTTTCCGTCGAGGCATGACGCGCTTTTTTTGTTTATTACACCATGCTTTTACAGTTCAATCATACGTACACAGTGATAGACGATGCGTCAAATGATTGGCAGCATGTTTTGCTTGCGTATTAAAGTAGCATTACTGTTGCCTGACAATAACACCCGTTTCCAATTGCACACACTGAAAGGGAAACGCAGAGACATCACCTGATGCCTGGAATAGCACGATCGATCTGAATATATCGCCATTCTACACTTCAGTTCGACGGTTATTGCGAGTATTTATTGTATATGGCCAGTGCTGGGTACTCGTCATTCGGTTGCCGTTTTTCATTCTCCATTGGCGCCGTCGGAGAATTGGGGCGGTTTGAATATTATAAATCTATTCCGTGTATGATTATCCGACAACATTTGGCACCGGAGAATATGTCAATAGACAGTTTGAAGTAATCTTTATCCACATAATAAAATATTAATCCGGTAGTAGATATTTCTGAACACTGTCGCATTACGTGGAATTGACGAGGGACGTCACATTGACGGAGCAATATGCTAACAGGCGTAAGCAGACCTTCTATTCAACATATAGACCCGCGGGGGGTACATCTAATTATTAATAAATGAACAAACATAAAGCTTTCAGTATGTTATGCTCGGAATTAAATGTCACAATATCTACAACCCAAAATGTTCTTCATAAACCACGTTTTTGTCACATTATTTATTTTAAAGCGCGGTGGTCATCACACAGCGCGTGTTCGAATTTCACGTATTTTACACGCGTTGTATACGTCGCTATGAGTCCCATATCGAACAGGACGCGGCACGACGACTGCCGCCCTTTAAACCACGTGCAATATTGAATACTTCACAGTCTGTTCTTGTCTAAACTCGCGTTCAAAATTACCCACCTGACAAGGGTCTAAGTAATATCCTTAATATCAAATTATCGGGTGCGTCACTGTCAGTACCCGACTCAGACTTCAGTTACAGACTCAGAATCCAGTTACAAATCAAATACCTGCTGCTTTCATGAATTACGGAAAATTGGCACGGAAATTAAAAAAAAATAATAATATAAGATAATAACATAACGCCTTGAATTATATAGCTAATGGATCATTTAATCACAATAAAACTAATAATTCCAAAAATGTGATTTCGTTCCATTTCAGTAAATAGGCTGGATATGCGGGAAATCATGACAACATGGTATCTTGTGAGAACATTTCTAGATGTTTCTGTCACGTAGTCTTTGTGTCAATTAGTTTTTAAAATGTACTTATCAAATAATGGGTTATCGAAATAATTTCCATTGTATTTTTAATATTGTTTCCCTATCACTGAAGCACCAATTTTCGGTTCACTGCTAGATCGCGTATTATGCGGGAACCTAAGGTAAATAACATGACAAATAAAGGTCACAGCGTCGTAGTGTGTCAAAACATTGCGCGGGTTTCGACAAACGTGGAACTATTTTATTTGGGGGGGGGGATTTCCACGCTTACTAATATACATTTGATGATGATCAATTTTGATAGAGAAGAGATATCTCAAAGCCATGTTTCTCCTTGAAAGATATGAATTTCGACATTGAACTGTAAAATCAGATTTCAAGCTCAATATCAGTTGATTTATTTTGTGGCGGAATGTCAAACCACGTCTTTCACGCGAGAAAGTGATCTACTGAAGCGAGAACGACGTTAACGGGAAACACACAGTATGTCAGTGACACCCACTGTTAACACGAGAACACTCAGTATTAAAATGGCACCAACTGTGAACAGAGGAACACCCAGTATGTCAGTGACACCCACTGTTAACATGAGAACACCCAGTATGTCAGTGACACCCACTGTTAACAGGGGAACACTCAGTATGTTGGTGATACCCACTGTTAACACGAGGACACTCAGTATGTCAGTGACACCCACTTTTAAAAGAGGAACACTCAGTATGTCAGTGACACCGACTGTTAACAGATGAACACTCAGTATATCAGCATGTCAGTGGCATCAACTGCGAACAGAGGAACTGTCAGTGGCACCAACTGTGAACATAGGAACACTCATTATGTCAGTGGCACCAACTGTGAACAGAGGAACACTCAGTATGTAAGTGGTACCAACTGTGAACAGAGGAACACTCAGTATGTCACTGACACCAGCTGTGGACAGCAGAACAATCAGTATGTCTATGGAACCAACTGTGAACAGAGGAACACCCAGCATGTCAGTTACACCAATTGTGAACAGAGGAACACCCAGTATGTCAGTTACACCAACTGTGAACAGAGGAACACTCAGTATGTCAGTGACACTGACTGTGGACAGCAGAACAATCAGTATGTCTATGGCACCAACTGTGAACAGAGGAACACCCAGCATGTCAGTTACACCAACTGTGAACAGAGGAACACCCAGTATGTCAGTGGCATCAACTGTGAACAGAGGAACACTCAGTATGTCAGTGGGACCCACTGTTAACAGAGGAACACTCAATATGTCAGTGGCATCAACTGTTAACAGAGGAACACTCACTATATCAGTGGCACCAACTGCGAACAGAGGAACACCCAGTATGTCAGTTACACCAACTGTGAACACAGGAACACTCAGTATGTCAGTGGCACCAACTGTGAACAGAGGAACACCCAGTATGTCAGTTACACCAACTGTGAACAGAGGAACACCCAGTATGTCAGTTACACCAACTGTGAACAGAGGAACACCCAGTATGTCAGTTACACCAACTGTGAATAGAGGAACACCCAGTATGTCAGTGGAACCCACTGTTAACAGAGGAACACTCAGTATGTCAGTGGCACCCACTGTTAACATGAGAACACCCAGTATATCAGTGACACCCACTGTTAACAGGGGAACACTCAGTAAGCCAGTGACACCCACTGTTAACATGAGAACACTCAGTATGTCAGTGGCATCAACTGTGAACAGAGGAACACTCAGTATGTCAGGGGCACCAACTGTGAACAGAGGCAAACTCAGTATATCAGTGACACTCACTGTTAACAGATGAACACTCAGTATGTCAGTGGCACCAACTGTGAACAGAGGAACACTCAGTATGTCAGTGACACTGACTGTTAACAGAGGAACATTCAGTATGTCAGTGGCACCAACTGTGAACAGGAGAACACCCAGTATGCCAGTGACACCCACTGTTAACAGGAGAACACTCAGTATGTCAGTTACACTCACTGTTAACAGAGGAACACCCAGTATGTCAGTGTCACCCACTGTTAACAGAGGAACACCCAGTATGTCAGTGTCACCCACTGTTAACAGAGGAACACTCAGTATGTCAGTGACACCGACTGTTTACATGAGAACACGCAGTATGTCAGTGACACCCACTGTTAACAGAAGAACACTCAGTATGTCAGTGGCACCAACTGTTAGGAGAGGAACACTCAGTATGTCAGTGACACCGACTGTTAACATGAGAACACTCAGTATGTCAGTGTCACCGACTGTTTACATGAGAACACGCAGTATGTCAGTGACACCCACTGTTAACATGAGAACACTCAGTATGTTAGTGGCACCAACTGTTAACAGAGGAACACTCAATATGTCAGTGACACCGACTGTTAACATGAGAACACTCAATATGTCAGTGACACCGACTGTTAACACGAGAACACTCAATATGTCAGTGACACCCACTGTTAACACGAGAACACTCAGTATTAAAATGGCACCAACTGTGAACAGAGGAACACCCAGTATGTCAGTGGCACCCACTGTTAACATGAGAACACTCAGTATGTCAGTGACACCGACTGTTAACATGAGAACACTCAGTTTTTCAGTTACACCCACTGTTAACAGATGAACACTCAGGATGTCGGTGTCCCCCACTTCAGAAAGATCCATGAATCCGACATCATGATATTTGAGCTCTATTAATATATCCTTTAATGGGTTCGAAATGAGTCTGCCTGGATCAAACGATATTGATTTCAGTTGTGAGTATTGGTTAGTAACTTTAATCCACTGTCAAGCTAATGAGTAATCAATATGTATCGTGCTAAGCAGATCAACAATTACGATAGGAAAAGTACTAGTGGTTCTAACTTGAAAACTGATAGACGTTTTAAGCACATATAAAATCGGATCTTACCCAGCTGACTGGTGATCCAGGGGGTGACGGTGTCACTCTGTCGTCATTTAATTGCGTCTGACTGGGGCGTAAAGGTAAATCCACGCTATTGGCCGACTGGAAACGTGGTCGCGGCATGTGATAATCCATTTGTGACTGGCTTCGTTTCAAAAACGGGTCTGAATTTGATGATTTGTTGCTGACCTGAGCAAGGTTTTCTGATACACAAATAGTATGCCGCTGAGATTTATTTAATTTTACGGGGTGGATGTGTCGGAAGTACATATCCCTGAGTTTGTTATTGTTAGACGAATACTCCGTGAACGTCGGCGAACCACTACTGTTACTTTCCAAACGTCTATTTCGCGATTGAGGTAACGTCACTTCCGAGTGAAAACAGTCGTCTTCCAAAAGTTCCTCTGATGACTGTGGTCTGACGGCCTGTAGTCGCTTGATGCTGGGTTTGAAACTTATTGCACTGTCGCGGTTTAATTTCGGTGATGACGTAGACGAACTCGACGATGATCCTCTGAGTTCCCGTGCGTGGTCCACTGCCATTACACTCCTATTAGCCCGACATTTTTCACACACTCCAGTGAATGGTTCGGTTTGGGTACATTTGCTCCTGACTTGCAGCGTTTCACACTGAGTGAAGACGTCTCGTTGCCATGGAAAACGGTTTTCACTTGTGTCACCGACGATATCCAGCTTGCCGAAGATGGAACTGCTCTCGTGGTTATGATCGTTCGTTTTAATCAATTTCCCCTCGTCTGAAAAGACGTTATCTTTAAGCGCCGTCGTCGTGGTGTTCTTGTTGCTCATAACAACGGGATGAGAATTGCCAGCTATCATATCCTTCTTGCGCTGACACTTCTGCGTGTTGCAAGGTGAATAGTCGTCTATTTCATTGGCGTCAGTCGGCGAACAACGAACCTCGTCCGAGTCCAAAACTATTGCACTATCAGCGGATAGTTTCGGTCGTCGCAGTTTATTATTCATGTGCCGTAGATCTAACAGTTTGTTGTTGTCACGTGACATGACTACGCCTTCTTCAAATTGGTGTAAATCTTGCAAAATGATGGGCGTCCTACTGCGGGGAGCGTTGATACTACATTGCGCGGCACGGTCGTCCCTCTTAATGTTCGAATCTGCAATTACAAAAGGACAACAAAAACATGATGAAATACAAATTACATTACATATTAATCGATGAATATATGAAATGACTTAGGAGGGAACTTGAAATAAGATTGTTTTGATTCAAAACTACGCACCAATCAGACGACAATAAACTGCCGGTGAAATAGATTTGTACGTGTGATTATATAATAAGCCGTTATGATTAAAAAAAAAAACTGGAATTGAAATACATTCATAACTCAAACAAATTGAATATATCATAACAGTATTGCATATTCCATCACGATTTAATCCCGTAAATATTTACATATGTATATGAATTTCCCACGGTTTACCAAAGAAATCGCGTAAGCTCACAATATAGACGGTCACGTGACAAAAGTAACACGCCATCGAGTTATTGGTAGCGTTCCCAGCCAGGTAGCGAAGAAAATGACAATATTCTGTCCTGTCGCATCCATATTAACTGAGTATTAAATACTAACATTTTTGTTTTATATATGATAGCCTTCCGCGCCCGGTTAATCAAATTTAGACTAATGTTTAATTTCGGTGATGACGTAGGCGAAGTCGACGATGATCCTCTGATCATGAGTTTCCGAGCGTGGTCCACTGCCATTACACTCCTATTAGGAACAATTAGTTAATAGTATTGTAAATAGAAAAAGACGAAGAAGAGTGGAACGACCTAAGTTAAGAAGGACACATCCGTCAATTTTACGCGGCAATCTTACATCTTGATGGGGATGTGTACGAGCAACGCGGATGCCAAGACTGCCTGCCTGTCGCAACAAGCCTCACTGACGAGCCCTGTCTGAACTGCTACAAAAAGAAGATCCGGTTTGTTCCATTAGGAGATGAACTCATAAAAAAGGGTCGGCGTATATACGGAGGGGCGTCTATTAATCACACTAGAGAGCGTTTTCATTGCCACAAAACTATGAATTTATGTTCCCATGGCTATGATTACCATACGATTTATAGGCGAACCTCTGCCGTTTTCTCATATCTGCGACTGATCAATCAATGTCACGGTCTAATTCATACGGCAATAATACACTGTTTTATTTGTTTTATCATTGGAACTTGAAGATCGGCCCATCTCCGTCGAAAGACTGACTTATATCGGAGTCAGATTGGGGTCTAACAAAGTTACACGGATGTAGTGATCCGTGTGGAACGTTGTCTACTGCGTTTTTTTTTTTTTTTTTTGTCCTTTTCCCGATACTGTTCTCTGGTATGATTCTATGCAATGTGGCAAGCTTCCCCGTGCTGACGTAAATACTCACCAAGACCTCGACTACGGTTGCGGGAAAAAAATGAATATATCCGATTATCTCCACATAATCACCCATATCAAGTTACAAGAATATTCCAAAACACATTTCCGCTTAGCTGTACGTTTCGGTGTCACGTGATTACGTAATCAAATACGCCACTTCATTCAGTCTCGTTCGTAGCCTATCGTGCCGTGCAATAGTAAATCTATCGGGTAAAAGTGTTTTCTTTTTATTATTGAAGCAAAAATCCAGAACATATCCTGAAAAATACTTTTCTGGCGAAAAAAAACACAAAAATTAATTTATAATTGATTGGTTGTATAGAATCTAAATAGTTTATCGAGTATTCGGGTATGGTGAACCGTGATAAATGAGTCATTGTTTTTAGACGAAATGATCAAAATAGGATACAACAGCCAGAGGGGATGACATTTGAGGCTCTGTCGTAGTGTGGGATTATCAGGCGAAGGCAAAAAGTAGTCAGATCGTATGCAACCAAAATCAAGGCAACATTGCCGACGATTTCACAATCTGGATAGTTAAAATGGCCCAACTTGCATTTACTTTAATTTACATATGCGTATTTAATTTAATAGTCATTGAGTTGCAAATGTGACTATTAATGAGCCGCAAAAGGAGACATTTATTTAGGTAAATGAGAGACTGCGTACATATGTATCATGCTGTCCGTAGCGTGTACCCGATTCGAAAATGAAACTTAAGAAAATCCTTGAAGAGCGTGTCTGAGTGAGCCTAGGTGACGATGATCAACCTTGTTTTGTCGTGTGAGAGGCTTTTGACGTAAATAATTGAAGCAGATGATGTCGTTTTTTGATTAGTACTGTAATAAGTTGGGTAGATGAAAATGGTCACTGAAGATCTTTCATGATAAGACACATTGAATACTCGTAATATTTATTATGAAAAACGTATACATAAATTTGATATGTTATTGAAATTGTGGCGAAACTACATTTGCAAAATGCGTGACAATTCATAAAGAAATACAAACCAAGCTTCTGTCGCTTTCTTTGCGGAAAAAAAACGAACACTGAATAAAAAAAACACTGACGCCTGCTAACGACGGCTGTTCGTAAATCGTATTGGGTTGACTATTTAAAAAAATGTAAAATAAAATGTGGCCTTAATGTCTGAATATAATGACGGCGTCACGTGATGCGGCCAGTTAACATTTGCATGCGTATGTGAAGCTACCAGCAATAAAACAAATATAAACAAATCCAACCCCCCGTATCGCCATGACAACACAGCTATAACCATCGGACACCTGTTACGGGTGAGCGCATTAATTGAAGGTTTTTGCATTCCTATGGTAATAATAAAATGTCTTTACTGTGTAGTGTCGCAATCTGGCGTTGAGCGCTTGTTAATATGTTTTCGGCGCGACGTACTCCTTCACTTGGCTAATTTTGATTTTCTCACCTCGTTGTCTTTTTCCATTAAAATTGACATGCACTGTGCAAGAATTTATATTAATAATCAATAAAACGTATGGATTGATAAAGAAAAAATCTAGCTAGCACAGCCTTTGACGAGTGCTGTCTGACTATTTCAATTATGCCACTACAAGTATTCACTCTGTTTAACAAGAATCGCACGAATTGATAAAAGGGAATAGTGTGGTTGCCAGGCAGCGCCCGCCGATCACTTAACTGAGTAGTATGTTTGCATTTTGATTTATACGCTACAGTGACGACTGTTGACGCTTTATTATTTTAAAATTGCGCATGTCCACCGCGACCCGACAAAAGATGATCAGGGAACGAGTCTTATATCTATTCCTAGCCGGAAAATTGCGGGGAAGTCTGATGACAACAACTAAAGACAAACTCCAATTTTAGAATGTTTTGCTTGACATTCAATGAAACTGAATACACGGGAAATCCGTGCATGTCAGTTTCTAATCGAATGATTTCTGCGATTTCCCCACCATGAGCTTCGCCGTGAAAGCTGGCGGCCATTTAAAAATGAACAACTGTCTGTCTACGATGCCGATGGCAGAACAGCTTAACTGCACGACTCTGGATTATGTGCCTATATATACATGCACATATGACCAGTTTGAGAACATAATCACGATAGTAAACAGTACAAAAGTTTTAACATTTGTATCGACAACTACGCAACCCTTTTCCCCTCCACCACTATTTGTTGTATTACGTCACACCTCGCACGTGGTTAATCATGTGATATATGTTGAACCGTGCAAATAATAGAGGAAATAAAGACGATGCATTATTATGTGTAACAGGGCCAGGCAAGGACGGAGATTTGCGCAATAATGTCGAGACG